GGGGAGGAGGGCCCTGGCCACAGCTGGAATGAAGAAATCTGGCAAAAAGTAAGCTGTTCCTTGTCCCTGAGGAATGGTGAGCCTTTATTTTATCTGTAGTTAAACATCTGTATTCCCTGCCATAGCATCTTTTGCCACCTATAGCTGGAATTCAGTGTTGTCTTAGAGCTGCTGTACATTTAAGAATAAAGTTTTGTAAAAAATAAAATAAAATCTTAGAGTGGCTTATCGTCTCTTTAGCTTTCGCTCAGTCATTCCTACCATAACTGTGAATTTAAAGTAAAACCAGCTCAGAATCTTGCCAGAGTCTGCTCTTTGGTCCTTGTTCTGCCCTAAAGTTTGTATCACCTGAAAGTAAACCGACTTGTTTGAAAGGAAAAAAAAAAAAAAAAGGAAAGAAATAGAACAAAGTCTCCTTGTTTATTCAGGCTACACATAACTCAAAAACTAGATGTTTTCAACAAATATAGTCCCCGTTCTTTTTCTTGCTTGCCATTGTACCTAAAAGATTACAGGGCAACCGCTTATCTCATTCCAAAAAAAATTAAGGAAAAAAAGTCTGTCATCTTCCATGCCATTTGAGTCATTGGTTTATGCTGTATCTGTAAAGGTGCGTGGCCACAGGTAGATTTTCTTTCACCAGTAAGTAAAATTTGCATGACTTACACTTTAGGAATAAGGAAGGGAAAGATATTACTAAGACATTTAAAAAGGAATTTTCTTCCATTTAGCTCCTCATTTTTAGACAATCAAAATAAAGATACGCATGGTTGCTATTGCACGTGCGGCACGGGGGCTCCTCCTTCCCCAGGCAGGGGTTACTGGGAAGGCAGTTTGGGAAAAGGGATTCTGATGCACCCAAACCGTCACTCGTGTCCAGTGTCTATAAGGTGCATAAACACCACGTCGTTAAAAGCACTCCTTCAAGAACAAGCTAAAATGAAGACAAACGTTTGTATTCACTCCCTAACGCACTTTCTTCTCTCTGCTTTCCGGATATCTAATTCCCTGATCTCACCCTTTCTCGTTATCTGCTTCTTGATGAGCACAGGCTTATTAAAGTATCAATTCCACATGTCGATTTTAGAAGACAAGATTTACTAATGAGAAAGTGCGGAAGCATGTTCGTGAAAATTTAACTTTATCAAAACAGTATAAAAGTATGGGGCTTAGACAAGTCCAATAAAATGTTAGATGAAAATATTTTATTGAATGAATAAAAGGCACAGAGAGAAACGTAGACTCCCTGGCTACCATTTCAAAATTGCAATTGTAAATTTTGGCACAAGAGGGTTTTCTAAAAAGATTAATGCATAAAGATTTTTTTGTTCTACTTCCTATGATTACATTCCTGAGAAAAACTGCTAGAATATTTGCCAGTGACTTGGACCTGGGTTTTATGACCTGGCAGTATGTCCTTTAAGGGGCCCTAGGCAATGCTGTCAGGACTGAACTGAGTAAGCCCCTGGGGTCAGGGATGTTGAGGACCCCCGGGGGTGCCCAGGCTTGGCTGGCACAGGAAGGCAGGAGAGGCAGTGGGCTTCAGGGAGGACAGGCTCCTGGCCTGTGCATCTTTGCAAGGATAGGATTTGCTAATCTTACATCGCAAATGCCTCTCCATGTGTGAACCTATGTTAGCTGTACTCTTAAGCAATGAGATAAACTGCCCCCTCCCTAGAGGCTCGGTGACTGCTGGCATCTGTCTGTGGCCACTTACAGCACGAGCTGACACACCAGGCACCAGTGTGTCAGCTCATCCGGCGCCGAAGTCACCACACTTTACCCACCACCTCACTAGACTTCGTCAGTCAGCAAATATTGACAGAGCTTCCTGTGTGGTTAACAGCTAGAGAAATACATAAATCAGCTGAAAGATCAGATGAGGGTAGGAAAGAAGGAACAGGGAGGGGTGAGAAGAGACAAAAACACTCAGGACCCCTCACAGAGGTGGGGGTCTATAAGATCTTTAGAAAGCAGGACAGAGCTGAAGAAGAAGTCTCTACCCTCCACCCCTCAGGAATCTAAGCAGGTATGAACTAAGAAGACAAAGGCGATAAAAGAACAATTGTGAGGCAGCTCAGGAGGCCAAGCAGGACAGCGTAATCTCTGCAGAGAGCAGCACGCCACCATTATCTAGCTTGCAGATGGACCACCCAGAAAATCTGTGAGCAATTAGGAGTGAGAAAAACAAACGGGAGGGGGGCGCTGAGGAGGATGAGCCCCTAAAACTATGTTCTGGCTAGGAATTCCAAAGTGAAGCAAGATGCTGGGACTAGAAGGAAAATGGTGCAACCAAGTGGGGGCACGCACACCCGCCCATGCACGCGTGTGCACACACACACACACACGCCCCCTCATACGAACTACAAAGTGTAATTTACAAGGGACCAGAAAATAGACTTTACAATGTAGAAGGCAGGAAACCATGTTGAAACTCTTATTTTCTGATATCCATTTGAACATTTAAAAGTGAATTTTGAACAGGATCGGTGAATTTTTTAAAATGACATTCATTTTATCAACAACAAGCAAACATGGGCTCACATACTCTTTCAAGGCTGACAGCCCAGGACTCCTTTCAATACAATTCAAAATTGAGAGCTCATGGTCCTCCAGCCAAAGTGCAGATGAGCAGCTGACACTTTGCGCTCCCGAGACGGGTCAGGCAATATGCTGTGTTGTACATGTTTCACAAACCCTAATCCCCCCAAAAAAGTATTAGCCTTCTTCTATGACAGATGAAGAGACAATCTCATCCTATGAAATATCCTGCGCAAGGCCTCACTGGTAGGAGGCGAAGTCAGATTTCAAACACAGGTTCCATATCTCTGCAAAATGCACATGGCCCTCCAAACTGCGTGGTTGGTCCCTACACATGGTGTTGGACCTGGGCCTGGGTGTGAGCTGCTCCCTCTGCCTAAATCAGACTCTCAGCAGTTCTGCCCAGTCAAGTCCCTCCCATCCTCAAAGGCCTGTGTTTCCTCCATCTCCAACATGAAGGCTTTCTTGATCACTCCAGCCAGATGACCCCTCCCCACATCAGAACAAACATGCTAAAGCACATTCTCATACCACATTATACGTCATATTTCCCTGTAAAATGTTTGAAAGGAATTTTAGAATTTTTGCTCTGAAATTCTCATTATACTTAGAAATTACTTATGCCTCCTCTGCAATCATTGTGTATACTTGAGATATAAGAGAGCTGTAAGTTGTTTCTAAGTATGATAAACTTACTGTGCTTACTAAACTTAACAGTTATTAAGACTGATATGCATTGTATGGGGTTTTAAATATTTATTACTTTCATTATGTAGGGGTTTCCTTCTCCCTAATTTTTGGAGCCTATGAATATGTTTTCTTTTTTTTTCAGGTCTCAAAGAGCATGGTAGGTCCCTGAAACTAACAGGCACTGAGACCTGTGCCTCAGCTGTCTGACAGACAGAACAGCCCTGCGCAAGCCTCAGCCACTCATAGTGGCTATATGTACACCTGAGGTAAAAATCAGCCCCCATCCCCATGTATTCACAAACTTAAGATTATGGAAGACAGTGCTTTTTGTCTTGTTGACTGATATATATATATATATATATATTTTTTTTTTTTTTTTTGAGACAGAGTCTTGCTCTGTCACCCAGGCTGGAGTGTGGTGGCGTGATCTCGGCTCACTGCAACCTCTGCTGCCCGGGTTCAAGGGATTCTCCTGCCTCAGCCTCTGGTACAGCTGGGACTATAGGCATGCACCATCATGCCCGGCTAATTTTTTGTATTTTTAGTAGAGACAGGGTTTCACCGTGTTAGCCAGGATGGTCTCGATCTCCTGACCTCATCATCCACCTGCCTCAGCCCCACAAAGTGCTGGGATTACAGGTGTGAGCTACTGCCCCTGGCCCAACTGCTGATTTTTTACAGTGACTAGCATAGCTGCTATAAAATGAATGCTTAATAAACTTACTAAAAATAACCCACAAATCCAAAACCACAGCTTCAACTATATGCCATCATCCCTTTCCTAAAATCTATTTGAAACTGTATTTTGAAAGCCTCTCAAAATGTTTGCATTGCCTTTCTTTAACAACAACAAAAATGCTTTGTTTGCATTGCTCTAAAAGATGGTACAATTAAACACAATATAAAGCAAAATACAAAGTGGAGATCTCTAAGTATTTGACTTCTTGATGTTTGTTGCATTGGTGGTTAGTTACTGGTTGCCTTCTAAGCATTTGTAAGGGAGTTGTACTCAGAATATTATAGGTGTTCCACATTGCTTAATACAGCAATGGCTTTCTAGTACCCTGCAAATTGTTCTCAGGCCCAGAGAAATTTCCCTTGATGGTGCATAGATTTTAACAGAGTGCACTCTAACAACATTTTAACATCTTGTAATGAAACAAAAACTGCGCACAGGCCGAGGTGTTACACGTGGTGAAGAGCAGGCTGGTGTTCAGGAGGAATTAGGGGAGCAAGCAGCAGTGTCTGCTCCGGGAGTTCACACGATCCCTCTCACCCCCAGCTGAAAATGTTAACATTAAAAACTCTCCCCTATTTAGATATGCCGAAGTGGAATGTAACAAGGTTTACACAAATAACAGCATGCATTATTTCACATGCAAACCTTCACAGGTGACACTCATCCTTGGGAGAAATATTTGGCTTTGAAATCCAAAGGGCTGGCTTTAACTCCTCTGTGGCAATGCTGCTAACTCTGTCCTCTTCCACCTTAAGGTAATACTGCCACGATGTTGATTTTCTGCATATGGGTTGTTTTGCTCACCTCTAAGCCTAATAAAACCCCCAGTCTTACCTGGAGACTTCCAGAGATTTGGATTTCATGTGGTCACTGAGAGAGTGCGATTTAAATCTGAGAACAACCAAAATGCTTACACCTGAGCATACTGTGCTCCCACTGAAAACCAAGATGAGAAAGAAATACAGGAAGGAGGAAGGGCAAAGGGCTGGGAGAACCTGTGTTCTGTGTGGACCGGGATGGAGCTCCCCACCTCTTTCCATTGCTATCCCGCAGCACCGCTTTTCCCAGGACTCGAGACTTGGTTTCCAGTTCCTGCACCTCCTCCAGCAACGTCTTTTTGCAGGTGTGCTTGGCTCTGTATCATGAGGAAAAGACAAAAAAACAAAAAACAAAAAACACATGGCATAGGGACTTGACACAGCTGGGAAAGACAGGCCACACCCAAAGGGACTTTGGTGGAGGCCGAGGCTTGGGAAGTGGTGGAACATTCAGTCTCTGTGCGTGACATGGGTTCCATCTCCACAGCCTGGAAGCATCCTGAGTGCTGCAGTCCAGACCCGGACCATGCACATCAAGAGTCACCCCACCCTGCAAAGAACTGGACGTCTGCTGCGGGGCCCAGTCACTCAGAGACTGGGTGGGGTTCATGAAGACCCAGGGTCTGCCTCTAAAGCATTTCTTAGCAGGATCTGAAAACCCAGAAGACTCTTAAAACCCACACCTTAGTGAACAGACACTGGTTCTCTGGTCCAAGGACCCCAACTACAGTCAGGGGGCCCAGGGGTTAGTAAGTTTCCTCCCTCCCTCTTTACTATGAAAAGAGCCACTGCCATAGCAGCCATGGGGCTTAGGATGCCAGAGTGCATGGTCTGGATGCAAAACCCTTGGCCTGAAACGTGAAGTCAACAGAAATCCCGAGTGCACGTTTCCCATCTTCCTCAGTATTATGCCACGGAGGCCTGGGTGTGTGGACTTCAACTCACCACTGAAGTCCACACACCCAGGCCTCCGTGGCATAATACAACTTATGAAATAACCCGCAGCCTGGACAGCCCACTCTTCTTGAATAGCAGGAAGAGTTCCCTGTATGCTTTTACTAACGAAACTAAGATGAATACCTCACAATGTTCAAGGAATTGGCTGATCTCAGAGTCTTTATAAAATAGAAACTAAACAAAGTTAAAACTGAGCTACTAGTTGGCAACAGTCTGGGCGAAAAGACATTTAACAAGACATGGGTTATATCAGAGAACAAAACTGTAAAGAGAAAAGGCTCATAAATTAGCAACACATCAGATTGAAAGCTTTGCATTGGTTTAATTTCAATAGAAATACACGTGAGGATCCTGCTAGGTACCAGGACCCAAAGACAGAATGAGAATGAAAACTGAGCACCTTTGCCCAGAAATGACAAGTGTCATGGGAACGTTGTGAAGATATGGGCCCTTCCTGCAGAATCGGGCACCACCCCGCCTACCCTCCACCTTCAAGGAAAGAAAGCCTGTTAAGATAACGTGAGTCGTCTCCCGACACTCTGAGTTAATCTATAATGGAGTATGAGCACTGAGATACTGTATATGCCCCTGTCATCCTTTCCTCCAAAGTAAACAAGGGAAAGCCACACAGGCTTTAACACATAATACCTTAATTCCATCAAACAGAGTCCCGAGACTCAGGATTGATAAAATACTGCAGTTCAAAGCAGAGCCCGTGGAATTTTAATTTAAACAATAAATGAGCAAACGTCTAACAGTTTGCTGGAAAGGAGAGTCCGAAAGGATGTTAAAACGTACCCTGTTCATTATTATATAATATGTGGGCCTCAAACATGGTCGTTTGTCTCCTGGGCTTCTAAGGCTAGACTGAAAACCAGGCCACCGCGTGCCTGTCCTGCCTGCCCTGCGCCACCGGCTCGCATGGGTCCTAGAACAGTCTGAAAGATGAAGAGCACTGCTGGTGCTTACAGGATCCCTCTCTCCACCATCATCCTCCCTCTCTCTCCCTCGCTCCCTTTCCCCTGCACAGGAGTAGAACAGATCCCATTGTTATTTCCCGGGCTGGGAGGAAAGGGGGTTCCTAAGAGGGAGGTTGGAATAGGAAGCCTGGGCACTGGGAGCCTACAGCTGAGGCTAGAACCCGACCCACTGTGGAAGCTGACGGTTTTCGCCCAATCACAACATGGCCTCAGGAGGCAACGGTCTGAGCATCTCAATGCTCCCAGGCATTGTGTGTGCCCTCGGTGGATGAAACTGCACCCATATTCCAGAGTTACTCAGCAATTTGATAGTATTTCCACTAGGCGAGCCCCTACGAGCTAGCCTGGGAACTTTGCTGCTGTTGGAAAACACTGAATTGCGATGCTGGGGATGATTCAACTTCTCTTTTTGCATGTATTTAATAGCACCTGAGTAAAGGGATGCTGGCAATTAAAAATCCTGTTCTCAAGCACCTTTATTTAATAATGCCTGAATTAGAAAAACTGATTCTAAAATCTCCTCTGTCTAAAGGCTACATGTGAGTGGTCTAAAATTAATATGTATAGGTTATAAAGTCAGTCGTTAAGCATTAGCCACTGGCCTATCACTTAGGTCTCACCAGGAGCTGGGATTTGGCGTGTTCTGAGTCATAGCATTGACAGAGTAAGCCCCTTATCTGTAAATGGCTTCTTGCCCAGTGGTCCAGGGCTTGCTTCATCTAACCCCACATTGAGAGGCCAGATGACCACAGAAGGGACAGAGTGGGGTTGCTGGCTACTGACTCATGAGTGTGAGAGCTATCTGTGAGTCTTCAGATATGCCTAAGGGTGTCTCCAGGCTCTCAGAGACTTTTAAAACAAACAGATTGTTTTAGGATCTTGAACTTTCCATCCTTTTTTTCCCCCTGAAACTTTTCCCCTGGACTTTTCTTTTGTGTGCAAGAATAGCAAGTCAAAGGAAACGTTTAATTCTAAATGTGGATGGAAGTGTAAATATAACATGCTGCAAAAGAAATTAGTTAGAAAGTTAAAAGAAATCAAGGCCCATTTGTATATAGAAATTGCTCATTACCTCTTACTTCCATTTAACTGCCTATCTGGGATTATAATAAGGAAATGAAGTCATTCTGGAATTGGGCACTGGGTTGTTGATGTATGGTAAAATACAGGAGATACATCTAGATAAAAGGAAATCGGTTCCTCTGTGTTCAGTGGCCTTGGGCTTATATTATTTTTTATAAAGCAATACTAACAAATTTCACCTAGATGAGAGTCAGGATGTGGCAGCTTACCTAAGCATGCTGTCATCGGTAAACACTTGGGATGAATATAAGGGAAGGATATTAAAATAGTTCTGGGCAATCTAAACTTTGTGCTTCTAATAAAAATACTCATTAACCAGGTATCACATATAATCAATCAATTATTTTAATAACAGGTAGGTTAGTTTGGTCCCACATGAAAATTTTGGTTAGCAGGATAATAGAGTGGGCGTTTTATGGCGTGCCAAATCTGACTTAAGATAGTCTAATAATGAATCTTCATCCAGAAAGTTAACAGACTTCATGGAAAAAGTGACTGAATTACCTCATTCTGGTTCTCTTTTCTTACTCTTAACAGCTCAGGTCCTGAAATGGAAGCGAGAAACTGGGCAAAGAAATGGGGAAAATGTAGACAGAGGGAGCAACTCACTTTCTTCAATGCTCACAGAAATATACTTGAAAAGGCAGGCCTGCCTTAAGCTGGAATTTAAAAGCCTTTTTTTCCTTTGAGACAGAGTCTTGCTCTGTCGCCCAGGCTGGATTGCAGTGACATGATCATGGCTCACTCCAACCTCCACCTTCCGGGTTCAAGCCATTCTCCTGCCTCAGTCTCCTGAGTAGCTGGGATTACAGGCACCCGTCACCATACCTAGCTAATTTTTGTATTTTTGTAGAGATGGGGTTTCATCATGTTGGCTGGGCTGATCTCAAACTCCTGACCTCAGGTGATCCTCCTGCCTCCGTCTCCCAAAGTGTTGGGATTACAGGCGTGAGCCACTGCACCCGGCCTAAAAGCCCTTTCAAAAGAGGGTGATAACCACCAAAGTTCAGTACAAAACAAGACATTCTTAAGATGGGCCCAAGGCAAGATGAGAGCCCGGCAGCACCGCCGTGGAAGCTCCCCCAGCATCACCATGTGCTACTGTCACAGGGCAGGGTCTTCCCCTGTGCCCACTCATGAATGCACACGTGTTCTGGGAGCCCCAATTCAAATCCAATGATGGATTTTGGGGACAAGCAAGATTAATATTTTTTTGTTCAGTGCATGGGAAGAAGAAGCTAACAGTGTTTTCTAAAGCTGCAATTCAGTAAGAGAAATCTCAGCGAAACACTGTAGCTTTCTCAGAGGTAAGCGATTCACAATATGCCTCCTCTTTTTGTAAGAAGCCTCTGAATTGACTTGCCTCAAAAACAAACATTTTGGGCTTGGAGTATAATATGAGACATAATATGGGCCCACGATCAGAGGGAAAATGCACCAGTAAACTGAAAAATTTCTTGTTTTTGAGGAGAGGGGTGAGGGTAGTTTAGATATTAAATAGATATTACAAATTGAGCATATATGTGCTTTGGGCAAATATTCCGGGTAACAACCAATATACGCTATTTTCCCTGCTCCCCCAAACAAAACAAGACAAAAATACATTTTGGAAAGCACATGTGGGATTCAGCAGGGACCTTTCTGGCTTAAGCCAGAAATGCTGTTGGTTTCCGGGAAAAGCTGAGTTCTGGTCCCGTGGTGCCAGGTGCTGGGCAGCAGAGCGCTCCTGCTGCAGAGGGGTGACCCTCAGCCCCCCGAGCTCGCCCCGCCGGCACCTCCACAGCAGAGCTTGTGCTCTGACACGGTTGGCAAGCTCCTTGGAAAGGAAGTGATTTTACTCTTTCCATATGGTGAAGCTGGGAGTAGTGTCATTTGATTTATCCTTGTTAAAATGTAAATGGTGCTAATTTTATAGCGCCAGGGGAAACCAAAAACAAGTCCTGTTGGAGGGAATAGATGATTTGCTTTGTGGTGACAGGGAATGATTACTTAGAACGCATTGGAAAACAGCCAGAAAACGGACAAAGAGGCACAGACATTTTGAAATCTATAAACATTCTCTTTCAGATGGAAGAAAGAGACGATTGCTCAAGTCTGCAAATATACAGTCTCAACAGAATTTTTTTTATGACTCTAATTTGAGATAGCTGAATTTAAATAAACTAATTTATAATCATGTTACTAGTTTTCAATCACTATAAATAGAAAAAACCAGCTGATGTGGCCAAGACTGTCCTATATTTATCTAAAACTAACATCTTTGCAAAACAAAAATTTTGAACAAATTCAGCACGGGAATAGATTGTGTCACAATTGGGCCTATTGGCTGAAAGAGCAAATAAGAGAATGAATATTTTCTTATGATAAATCTATTAGATTAAGGAAGGCCGGGCGCGGTGGCTCACGCTTGTAATCCCAGCACTTTGGGAGGCCGAGGCGGGTGGATCACGAGGTCAAGAGATCGAGACCATCCTGGTCAGCATGGTGAAACCCCGTCTCTACTAAAACTACAAAAAATTAGCTGGGCATGGTGGTGTGTGCCTGTAATCCCAGCTACTCAGGAGGCTGAGGCAGGAGAATTGCCTGAACCCAGGAGGCGGAGGTTGCGGTGAGCCGAGATGGCACATTGCACTGCAGCCTGGGTAACAAGAGCGAAACTCTGTCTCCAAAAAGAAAAAAAAAAAAGATTAAGAAAAGAAAATATTTTTTCTGGCTATAATCTTTTCACTTCTGAGGATTCTGATTCTGCTATTTACAGAACATGGTTTTACTAAATAAAATGGAAGTAAGGGTAAATCAAAGAATTTAAGAAATTAGAATTATTTAATTTTTCTAACAGTTAAAAAACTTAATGAATAGGAAAAGAAACACACAAAAATCCACGTTATAATATTCTTTCCCCCTCTATCTAGATCTGCATGAGGTATCATTGGTTGTCAAGATAATGCCAAAATGAAGACTTTTTCAAAAGAATCCTTAACTGTCAGGCAAGAAAAATTCTCACTGAGTGTGGGAGGAACGGAGGGATAAAAATGAGATCTGATGTCTTTTCCTGGAAGGTTTGGATTAAAGTCTCACTTCTCTATCTCAGGGTCCCAGAATAATTGTGTTTTGCCCAAAGTAAAGCTGAGCACAGAGTCTCAATTTTCAGAGAAGTTGGCACCTATTTGTAGGAGAAATTGCCCCCCCCCAAAACAAAAATCAGTCATACTTTATTTGGAGCAGCCCCTCCTTTTGCTCATGGATAAAATTAAAATTTATGTGATCCTGAACTTAGTTGCTTCTTTTACGTGGTAACAAGATATCTTGAAAATGACATATTTTAAAACATAAACGCAAAAATTGAATATGAACGATTTTCTATTTAACCTACGGGCTAATGTCATCTTTGTGACTGGTTTTCTCATAGACCTGTGAACTAACCCTTTTAAAGAATTTTATTGAAAGTTGTTTGGAAAAATGAAGAATACTTCATTCTTGTAATTTGAAATGACTTACGTACACTTAGCTTTCCTCTAAGCATGGGAAGTGAAGCCAGGCCATATGTGATCACTGAGCACTGAGTTTACGATACAGACAGATGAGTTTGAGTCACACTTTCTCAACTGGTGGAATGGGTATGTACTTAGAAACTCTGCCTTATAAGGCAATGTCCCCATTGATCTTCACAGTTTCTCTCAGGGCTCCTTTGTGTCTGCAGTTTTTCTTTTCTGTTTTTATTTTATTTTATTTTATTTAGAGACAGGGTCTTGCTCTGTTGCCCAGGCTGGAGTATACTGGCATGACCATAGCTCACTGCAGCCTCAAACTCCTGGGCTCGAGTGATCTTCCCACCTTGGCCTCCTAAGTAGCTGAGACTAGAGGTATGTGCTGCCATGGCCAGCTAATTTTTCTATCTTTATGGTTGTCTATATTTTGATATCAAGATGAAGCACAAGTTAAATTTAAATTAAAAAAAAAAACTTTCTCTGGCAGGTGGCAGGAGACCCATTTCTTCCAAATTCCTTTCATTCTTATACCCTGTGGCAAGGCTTATGGGAAAGACAATTCCAGGGGCAGATAAGTCAGACTGGGGGTCCCCACTTCACTTTTAAACTTACGCTCTCCATGCGACATCTTCGATCAAACATGCAGTAGGAACCAGAAATAATCCCAACCAGAAGTGTGCAGAGCTCAGGACCATAGTTGCCTGCGAGAAACAGAAGTGACACTTGTTTGAATACTTTCCCTTTCAAAAAGAGCACAACGTAATTTAATCAAGGAAAATATCTCACAATACAAAAACAACCCATGGTATTAAACACAATGAGAGGTAACCCATGCACTGGCAGGGCAGTCAAGGAAACGGAAGGGGCTTGCTCTTTTCTGCAGCCCTCTCTCCTCTCTCTTCCATTCTTTTAGTTTGACATGTGTTCTTGCCTCTCTCTTTTATAAAGTGCTTCAAGCCCCTTCCGATTGGGATGCTGTCTTAAATTTTCCTAAAGAGAGCTATTGGAGTCACCAACACTGCTTCACTGAGGAGTAAACTTTGCCTCAATTGGTTTCTCCATTCACTCATCATCAGCTCCTTTTCTCCCAATGCCCATTCATTCATGGAGCCAGGACCCATGTCATCGCTACTTGGTACAAGGCAGGGTGGTTCTCCCCACCTAGGAAAGGAAGATGAATAGGTTATAGCCCTTGCCTTCAGGGAATTAAATACCCTCTGGTGCAATCTGCATTAGACAGTGGAATATGGTATAATATCATGAAAATATCCAATGGGGCTTCTGGGAAGACTTCTTAAAGACGACAGAGTATGAGATGTACCTGGAAACATAAACAGGATTTCAGCAGCTAGAGATGGGTAGATGGACAGAGATGCCAAGTGAAAGGATGAAGGACAGGGGAGAGCAGCAAGGAGGCTAGCTTTCAAGAAGACTTCCTCGTTCCTGGCACGCTGGTTGGGGATAGCTTGGGAGGGAACAGGTAGAGAGGGTTTTGAAGATCAGAGCTGCAGGGCCAAGTGAGATGTTAGGTGAGTTGAAAAGAGAACTTACGGCAAAAGCAGAGGGAGGGAGGAGATTACTCTGAACAGAGATGGGGGCCTGAGTAGAACAGATACCTTCAATTTTGGTTCTGAATGGGCAAAAGCCTGGAGCGTGGAGCTGGCTGGGAATTGGGAGGCTGGCCTGCAAGGGGGGACACCTGAGAAAGGGACTCAAGTTAGTGTGATAGACCCTTTGTGTTCAGCGGATTTCTTTTCTGGAATCCTCATCCATTTGGTCCTGCTGGAATAGAGGTTTCGCTAGAGCTCACTGCAAATTAGAGTGAGACTTGCTGAGGGAGGAAGAGCAGAGGGCCTGAGGCACAATTAACTGCTTCTGGGACCCCCCACAGGGACTGGGAGGGTCTGAGAATCCTGGAGGCCTGGAGAAGCTCCCTTTATACAGTACGAAGAGGGCAGGATTTACCCGACTCAAGCCTGGCATCCAAGTGTCAACCCACTCTTTGGTTTCCATCTTCTGCTCCAGATAGATGGCCACATGCACTGCAGCCCTGCCACCCCCTCTGCCCTGAAGGGATTCCCTGCCCAGTCTCTGTCCTCACAGCAACCCCACCCACTTACCCTGATCCCGAGCACCCAGCTTCCCCATCTAGCCAAGGCCATGCCTAACCACGGCCCTTCTGCCTCTGAGCACCTTCACATAGCCCTGTTGGTGGTGCTTGGCATTTTATGACAATTAAACCAAAAAGCAATGAGGTTTGCAGGAAAAGAGTCAAAATTCAACCCTGGAATGGGAGGATTTGCTTTCCTTTTCAAACAGCCAAGAGCAACAGCTTTTGACAGAAAAGTTTAAAACCTTAAAAATGTCTGAGTACATTTTGCCCCATCAATTACATTTCTCAGAATTCATCCTAAGGAAGGAAGAAAACATGCAAAGAAACAAGTACAATGATATTCACAAGAGTGCTGTTCTATGAAAGAAACCAGAAATAGATGTCCTAGAAGAAGATCTATTAAATGCACCATGGCACTTACATACGATGGACTTCCATGCAAGCAGTTAAAGTAACGTAGAATTATATTTGTTGATAGAGAAGTCATATTCTGCTGCTACTGAGAAACACAAGTTCTATGATAACATCTCACAGAGGACCTAACATGGCGGTTGTGGGAAAGGAACCAAGGCTGGCCCAAGCTTCAAAATTAAACTTGAGGTGTCAACCCCCAGATGAGGTACACCCACAGCTATACAACTTTATTACATATTTGCCAATACACATCAATAGATACCATAATTTTTGTAGCCCTGTTTTGGTGTTTTCTTACCTTTATGAAAACATCCCAGGACTTTAAAAACAGTAGGGTGTCCCAGGCCCCTTGAAGGAAGAGTACCTCCTTCAAGTGTGGGCATGCTCACATCCTCAGGAACAATGCACGGAACAGTATATGGAAACAAGGATCTGGGTGGCACAACTGGTGATTTGTATTGTCATATGTCTGTCTGTCTGCATTTCCTGTTTCTACTACAGAAAACACGTATTTTGGCAAAACTCAACTCTCTCTCCAAGAAAACTACGAGAAAGGGATTGGATTATCAGCCTGCTCCTTCCACCTCCTGCTGTCCTGCCTCCAGGGTAAACAGGGTCTCCAGAGCCCAGCTAGGACCTTGGGTTTTGCTGATGCTATAGATGCCCGAGGTGGTGCCTGGTCCCTGGAAGATGGACTTGTTCAAGCTGTACTTGTCAGGATACATGCAGGACCATTCACTATGTGTATTTATTTAAGAAAACAGTGATTTTACAATAATGCATCATTTAAAATAGATTATAACTCAAATGTACACTGTAAATATGTAAAATATTATATATCAATAAAAAATAGATTATGGAACTCAGAACTTTAGTTGCTGAGGGAGAAAAGGAAAATGAACTGTGAATTCTCTTGTTGAAACTATGAAGCCCGTCCTAAACTAATAAAGGTTATATGGAGACTTGAAAGTATTGTTCTGTTGCTCGTCTTCAAAACTAGGAGCTGTGAATGTGATACATATAACTAATTTTAAAGGTTTGTCTCAGAAAGGTTCCAGCTGTTCTATTTTTCACAGATGGACTGAGACTCAGAGTCCTGAAATCCTTCTAAGGTGATCTACTGACCACTTAGGTCCCATATGCCTAGGAACTCACTGCAGTAAATTACAGGAAAGTGAGGCTCAGGTCAGTGGAATTACTGACACATTAGGACACAAGCTGGTGAGAGCCAGACAGAGGATTGGAGGCTTGTCTGATTGTAAAACCAATGAGCTGCGCAGCACTGCCCTGGGTCCGACTAGGAGTATTAACGACAGACATCCACACATCTGTAGATCAGGATTCATGAATGCATTAGTTTCAGCCACGCCACTAATCACATGCACCCCAGTGCCCCAGCACCAGCAGTCCACAAATGTGGTGACAAACTTAAAAAGGTGTTTTTTTTTAAGACAGAGTCTCACTCTGTCACTCAGGCTGGAGTGCAATGGTGTGATCTCGGTTTGCTGCAACCTCCACCTCCCAGGTTCAAGTGATCCTCCTGCCTCAGCCTCCTGAGTAGCTGGGATTACAGGCATGTGCCACTGTGCCCAGCTAATTTTTGTATTTTTAGTAGAGATGGGGTTTCACCATCTTGGCCAGGCTGATCTCAAACTCTGACCTTGTCCCACCTGCCTCAGCCTCCCAAAGTGCTGGGATTACAGGGATACATGTGCAGAATGTGCAGGTTTGTTACATAGGTATACATGTGCCATGGTGGTTTGGTGTACCCATCAGCCCGTCATCTACATTGGGTATTTCTTCTAATGCTCTCCCTCCCCTAGACCCCCCCACCCCCGACAGGCCCCAGTGTGTGGTGATGAGCTTTTTTTCATACATTTGTTGGCCACATTAATGTCTTCTTTTGAGAACTGTCTGTTCATATCCATCGCCCACTTTTTGATAAGGTTGTTTTTTTCTTGTAAATTTTTATAAGATCCTGTAGATTCTGGATATTAGTTCTTTGTCAGATGGATAGACTGCAAAAATGTTCTCCCACTCTGTAGACTGCCTGTTCACTCTGATGATAGCTTCTTTTGCTGTGCAGAAGCTGTTTAGTTTAATTAGATCCCATTTATCAATTTTGGCTTTTGTTGCAATTGTTTTTGGTGTTTTAGTCATAGAGTCTTTGCCCATGCCTATGTCCTGAATGGTATTGCCTAGGTTTTCTTCTAAGGTTTTTATGGTTTTAGGTTTTATGTTTAAGCCTTTATGAGTTAATTTTTGCATAAGGCATGAGGAAGGGGTCCAGTTTCAGTTTTCTGCATATGGCTAGTCAGTTTTCCCATCACCAATTATTAAATAAGGAATCCTTTCCCCATTGCTTGTTTTTGTCAGGTTTGTTAAAGATCAGATGGTTGTAGATGTGTGGTGTTATTTCTGAGGCCTTGGTTCTGTTCCATTGGTCTATATACCTGTTTTGGTACCAGTATCATGCTGCTTTTGTTACTGTAGGCTTGTAGTATAGTTTTAAGTCAGGTAGCATGATGCTTCCAGCTTTGTTCTTTTTGCTTAGGATTGTCTTGGGTATATGAGCTCTTTTTTGGTTCCATATAAAATTTAAAGTAGTTTTTTTCTAATTCTTGAAGAAAGCATTAGCTTGATGCAGATAGTATTGAATCTATAAATTACTTTGGGCGGTATGGCCGTTTTCATGATACTGATTCTTCCTATCCATGAGCATGAAATGTTTTTCCATTTGTTTGTGTCCTCTCTTATTTCCTTGAGCAGTGCTTTGTAGTTCTCCTTGAAGAGGTCCTTTACATCCCTTGTAAGTTGTATTCCTAGGTATTTTATTATCTTTGTAGGAATTGTGAATGGGAATTCACTCTTGGTTTGGCTTTCTGTTTGTCTACTCTTGGTGTATAGGAATGCTTGTGATTTTTGCACATTGATTTTGTATCCTGAGACTTTGCTGAAGTTGCTTATCAGCTTAAGGAGATTTTAGGCTGAGATGATAGGGTTTTCTAAATATACAATCATGTCATCTGCAAACAGATAATTTGACTTCCTCTCTTCCTATTTGAACACCGTTTATTTTTTTCTCTTACCTGATGGCCCTAGCCAGACCTTCCAATACTATGTTAAATAGGAGTGGTGAGAGAGGGCATCCTCGTCTTATGCTGGTTTTCAAAA